AAGCTGTAAACTACCTTAGCATCAAAAGAGGACAAGCTAAGCACCATAAGTATAATAAGTTAAGAGCATGGTCATGAAACAGGCTTTGTCATAACCCAGGAAGAAGTATCTGAATAAGGCCCCTGCTGGGATTAGGAAAGACTAAAGACTGACCTGGCCTGAGACTGTAGTCTGGAATATATAGTGAGATGTCACCAGGAAGAACCAACCTTTAAGCTTAATATGTCTCTTACTATGTTTATACAAAATGACTAGAAAAATTATAAGAAGTGAATTTATATTATTGTTTAAATGGATTACTAACTGAGGGAAGGAGAAAGCAATACACCCTGGATAGAATCCCACCCTTGAGTGGATCTCCTAGTAATCTGGAGTGCTGAACCCTCAGATGAGATTTTCGTCCTTGAGTTAATCTCCTGAAGGAGTGGCTTTGCACCTGCTTGTTGTTACGATAATGTTCAATCCCACCTTTGTGTATCCCACCCTTCATGATTTCTATATAATAATGCTGTAAGGGGTAAGAGGGGACTAGAAAGTCTACAACTAGAAAGAGGACGAGACTTTGGGGACTTTGGAGACTTTGGGTCTGTGAAGACGAGACAGAGGACTAGATGACGACAATGACTGGAAGTAGAGGACAATGAGACCACAACATGATGAGGAAAAATAGAATCAAGTAGAAGACTTTGAGGTCTACAAGACTAGGAGACTAGGATGATAAAACTGTGATGACTGGGACTACAACCAAAACTACGACTGCGATTGCATCGTAAGGGGAGAGATTGGACTCTGCCAGGGGAGAGAGAGAAATAAACTGTCTACTGACTGATTTGAGGCCCAGTTCCTGTTCCTCCATTCCTCCCCATTCTTTGTCTGCCACCGTGGACCAGCCTAGGGGAAATGGTTCCTTGCCACCGAACACTCACATCCTGTGTGACCAGGCACCTTTTCTTTGAAACTCACAACTGTGTTTACGTGATGAGTGATTTAATGTCCATTTTCTGCAAAGACCTTTCAAGGGCCAGAGAGACAATGCAGCAGATAAAGCACTTCTCTTGCACACAACCAACCTGGGTTCAAGCACCAACACCAAATATGGTCCCCAGAGCCACACCAGGAGTCATCTCTGAGCACAGAGCTAGGAGTGAGTCCTAAGCCAAGTGTGGTCCCCAAAAAACAACAAAAAGACCTCTTGACTTTCTGGCATAAAGGCCAGGATCTGCCTTAGTCAAGCTTATCCCCAGTCTCTAGCATACTGCAAGAATTCAGTGAACTGTTTCATTGCCTTTGTTATATATTTTATTGGGCATTTGTTATACCCCTACTTTATCTCTATGTCCCACTTATGAGAGAGATCATTTTGTATCATTAAAATGTTTTGACGATCCAGAGATTCACAAATGAATCTCAGAAGAGAGCAGCATACTGCAGAGATGTCTCTGGACCTTGCTCCAGGCTGACTCCATCAGGGTGCCTCAGAGGGGAGCAGACGCTGTCCCTCTGTCTGCTCCAGATGAACCCTGGCAGCTGCAAACCTCCAGAACCCAATCACCACCATGCTCATGGCCGCTCTTCACAGATTCGTCCCCAGCCCCCATGCAAGAGAATAAATCCACTGAAATACCCAGGTATATGGGACCAGTGACCGAAAACTCCCTCATGGATTTGGGAATGGGCCACCTCTTCCCATCTCTCACCCACCCCCCTTCTGGTGTCCTGGTAGTCACACCCACCAACTGTCTCCGGGCGCCATTTAAGCGCATTAAAGGTCATGACCATGGTCATGGTCATGATCCAGAGACTCACAAATGAATCTTAGAAGAGATGTCTCTGGAAATGTCTGCAGAAATGTCTCCAGATCCCAATTACTTAAAATTTTAGAATTCTAGGAGAGCGCGGTCACTTTTGCGGTTATACAACGTCTCAGACTATTCATAACAAGCAATACAAAATAAATTATTTAGCATCTGCCTGTGGGGCGGGCTTGAGTGGTGGTGGGAAATTTTGAAATAATGGTGGTGGGAAGGTGTAATGGTGGTGAGATTGGTGTTGAAATATTGAATGTAATCAAACATTGTGAACAACTTTATCAAAATTGGAAAATTGAAAAATCAATAAAAATAAAATGTTTTGAACGGGGCCAGAGTGATAATACAAAGAGTAGGGTGTTTGCCTTGCACTCAGCCAACCAGGTTTGATCCCCGACCTCCCATATGGTCCTGCCTGCACTGCCAGGAATAAATCCTGAGCACAGAGCCGGGAGTGCTGAGCACCAGTGGGTGTGACCCACAAAAGCAAAAACAAAAAAAGTTTTAAAATGATTGAATGGGGGCTGGAGTGATATAGCACAGCGGGTAGGGTGTTTGCCTTGCGGCCGACCAACCAAGGTTCGATTCCCAGCATCCCATATGGTCCCCCGAGCACCACCAGGAGCTGCTCCATTGTGAGGCTTTGTTGTTACTGTGTTTGGCATATCAAATACGCAATGAGTAGCTTGCCAGGCTTTGCCGTGCAGGCAAGATACTCTCAGTAGCTTGCCGGGCTCCTCGAGATGGGTGAGAGGAATTGAACCTGGTTCTGCTGGGTCGGCCATGCGCAAGGCAAATGCCCTACAACTGTGCTATCGCTCCAGCCCAGTACTAAGGGCAAAGGGTTGGAACTAAAAATTTCTTGTTTTGGGGGTCTACCCAGTCTGGAATGCCTGCTTTGGGAAGATCTGAGGCTGGAAGCAGAGAGAAGGGCTGTCCCTCCAGCAAAAGCTAGACCTCTTAAAAAAAAAAAAAAAAGGTGTTATACCTCGATAAAAATCAAAGGGCTGAGTAAATTAATCCCAAGAGAAATCAAAGACATGTTGGCGAAAGAGTCCTACAGAAAGTCGGACAGTGGTAGGAAGATATTGACTCTTTGTTGGTGAGGGTGTCAGGGTAACATAGTACCCCTAAAGTAGATCTTCCTTTAATCACTTACTCTTGTAAGTCAATGTTACTTCAATTTAAAAAAAAATTATAAAGAAGTGATAGAGCTGGTGAGTACTGAGCATGCCCCCTTCCCAACAGTCACCTGCCCTGCTTCCAGATAGGAAAGGAATGTGGGGTGTGTGTGTGTGTGTGTGTGTGTGTGTGTGTTAGGAGTGGGAGTGTGTGAGAGAAACACAGAGAGACAGAGACAAATGGACCAAGGGCATGTAGACTTTTACTTTACTGGGGGGAGGTGTGGATCTGGCCCCCAGGACTGGAGTAAGGGGGAGCGGAGGAGTGAGAGCAGCGAGAAAGAATTCAGGGGAGCAGAGAGGGGCTGGGCTGAAGCAGGGAACCAAGAGACGCAAATGGGAGAGAAAGAGGAAGAAAGCTAGCAATTTCTCCTGGCCACAAGGCTCCTTCCACGACACAAGCAGCCCCAGGCTGGGCTGCCACAGCCACTAAGACACCAGTGAGAAATGCCTGTAATTAGGAGGCTGGCAGCACTCTGGGACGCAGCCCAGAGTGACAATGCAGCAAAAATTTCTAAGCCAGGCTGTGCCTGGTAAATGGAGGAGACACAATCAGAACCGTTCCATCCCATCCCTCCCCAGCGGGGCTTAGACACACCCTCCTCTCGTTTGTCTCCCCACCATTTTCTCCTCTCCTCCTTTTGCTTTTTATTCTCGGAGGGGACACACTCTGCAGTGCTCAAGGGTTACTACCATCTCAGTGCTTGGGGGCCACTGTCAGCAGTGCTTGGGGGACCAGACAGTGCCAACGACTAAACCAGGGCTCCTGCAAGAAAAGCCTGCACTTTGGCCTATACAGACATTGCGCTTAGCCCTCCTCACCTCCTTCTGAGACTGGATCCTTCCTTCAGTCAAGACAACTTCAGGGCTGGAGTGATAGTACAGCGGGTAGGGCCTTTGCCTTGCACACAGCCAGCCCGGGTTCTATTCCCAGCATCCCATATGGTCCCCTGAGCACTGCCGGGAGTAATTCCTGAGTGCCAAGCCAGGAGTAACCCCTGTGCATTGCTGGGTGTGACCCAAAAAGCAAAAAAAAAAAAAAAAAAAAAAAGAAGAAGAAAAGAAAAAGACAACTTCATGTCCACGGACAAGAGCACTGCCACAGAGCAGCAGAGGTGCAGTGCCCACTTGGTCTCCTCTGGACTCCCCACCCACTTTCCTCCTAGCCTCTGGGCCTCCTCCTCAAATTCCATGAGCTGTTGGGCAGGGTTTGGAAGCAAAATCACCCCTGTTCCTGTTTTTCCACTTCTAACCTATGTGTCCCTGGGAAGTGCAAGCCCCTGCCAAAACATGGTCTGATGTTCAGTTCCAAGCCTAATCTGTGATTCTGCTTCAGCACTACCCACCACTTACTGTATCTTAGGTCAGGAACACCCTAAGATGCTCAGAGGCTTGTGCTGTGGACAAGGGATTACAGTCTCTTCTGGCTGAGTTATTTATAAGGTTTTGTGGGTCATGCTCTACCCCACTCGGTTGGACATAAGGTTCATGACTGGGGGAGACCGGATCTCTCCGGGGAGCATCTGCACCAATGGGAAATGAGCAAACACCAGGGTGGACAATTTCTACTGGTGGACAGAAAAAGCCGTTTTCTCTGTGAATTTCAAGCTGGGAAACAATAATGGAGCAGAGGGGTGGGGAGGTCTGCAAGCCAGGTGGTGTAGCCCTTGATAGATAAATCGAATTTCTGTGACAGGTTTGACCACTAACTCATCCCACACAACACTTTCCACATGACTAAAACCAGGCTGAGGGAACAAAACCAACCCCACACCACCACCAAGACTGTAGAGTTCTCACCTCAGCACTCAGGACCACATTCCATCCCCAAGAAGCCTCTTCTGGGGAGGCAGAGGATGCTCATGGCACCCCATTCTAGGGTCCAACAGAAGTGTGGACTATCCCCACATGCCACCAGACCAGCCTCCATCCACTTCTTGCCCAGTTCTACGGAGCCAGTCGCCTGCCCTAAACTTTTCCAAGAAAGGCAGACCGCTGTCCTCTGAAAATATTTTATTGATAAATTAACTCTGAAAGTGCCCATCACCTACCCAGCTGCGGGGAAGTCTCCTTTAGGGGACACGGACTCTTCTGAGGGGAGGGCTGGGGGCAGGCAGGGGTGTGCTCCCTGGGCAGGGTGGATTCCTGGGCATGGCCGAGGTCAGTGTAAAGACCGAGGCTGGGATCTGGGGGGGAGAGGACAGAATTGCTCCCTCACAGCAGCGTAGAGAGTGGTCTGGAGTGAAGCACCTTGGAGCTTTATTGCTGGTGAATGCCAAGGGACAGTGGGTTTCCACCCCCCACCCCCATCCCACCGCCAGCTAAGAAGTGCAGCTGAGGGCACTATTGCCCAGGGCCATTGGAGGTGGCAATTGGAGTTCCCAATCCACAGAGGCCGGCTACTGACCTAGAGGCGCCCAGGGGCGGGAGCCTGGAGAGGTATCTGAGCCAGAGAGGACAGGGGACGATTACAGTGTTCAGGTCTCCAGAAGGGGGCGTCATCAGGCCGCCGCAGCAGGGGGTGGGGGGTGGGGGGGTCTCCTCTTCACAGGTCTATGGTGTCGCTGCCCATGCTCAGCTCGTCTATCTGGCGGCAGGCGTCCAAGAATTGCTCGTGCAGCAAGGCCTCTTCGGCGGGCAGCGGGGGCGCGGGCTCCGGGGAGTCGCGGGAGGGCGGGGACAGGGCCCGGTAGGAGCCTGCGGCCGGCAGGTTGGGGCCGTTCCCCGAGGGCCGCGGGGGGCTGAGCACGCGGACCAGCGGGCAGCGAAGGGGGCGGTCGGGGCTGGAGCATAGCAGCATGGACGAGCTGTCCCGAGAGAGTCCGCACAGCGAGCCCGAGGAGGCGCTGCTGTCCGCGGGCCACGTGCCGGGGGAGGGCAGCTCGGGGGGCGCGGGGGAGCCGGGGGCCTCCTGAGAGTCCCCGCTGGGCCCGTTGCCCGTCTTCGCCCCCAGCGAGGCGGTGCGATAGAGACCCAGCCCGGGGAGCGCATCCCCGAAGGCCGGTCCCTGGAAGAAGCCGGGCGCCAGCAGGGCCTCGCTGCACAGCGCCTCCTCGATGCTGCGCCGCAGGTTGATGGGGGAGGGCGGCCGGAAGTCCACGGTGTAGTCGCTGCAGGGGGACGAGGTCGGGGAAGGGCCCGGGTTGTTGGCCGCCGCGCCTTCGAAGGCCCGGCCGGCGCCGCCCTGGAGCAGGAGGTCGGGGCCCGGCCCCGCCAGCGCGCACAGCTGCAGCAGCTCGGCGTCGCCGCGCGCGATGGCACCTCCGAGTGGCTCCTTATCCGGGGGTCCCGGCACCCATCCTCCCGAGGGCAGCAGCGGGGCCGCGTGGCCCGGGGACCAGCGGAAGAGCTTGGCCCAGCAGCGCGGCGGCACGCGGGGGCTGCAGAGCGCGGGATAGAGGCCCAGCAGCGCCAACGGGAGCGCGACGCCCACCTCGCCCAGGCGCAGCCCCAGCTGAAAGGCCCACCAGGGCCAAGGCCCCTCCAGGCCAGGCTGACCCCCGTAGCCCAGGGCGTGCAGCACCTCGTAGCCCTGCAGGGCGCCGCTCAGCAACCCGAAGGTGCCGGCCACCGGGGCCGTGCGCGCCGCGCGCCGCCACGACTCCCGCGGGGCGAACGGGCTGCGCGCCTGGGGGAGAGGGGTGGCGCCCTTGAAGCCCGATCCCCCCAGGGGTGCCCTGGCCCGCCGCCGCCGGCCCCTCACGCAGGACAGCGCCAGCAGGAGCCCCGACAGAAGCGCGGCGAGGAAGGCGTGCAGTCCCCGGGAGGCCAGCCGAAGGGGCCGCAGCGGGCGGTGGGCGGCGCTGCCCAGGGCAGCCGCGGCCGCCAGCGCCAGCCCCAGGAGCAGCAGCGCGGCTAGGCCGGCCGGACAGCGCGGCGGGCGCGGGCGGGCCAGCAGCAGGCAGGCCAGGCCCAGGCCGGAGGCCAGGCAGGGTAGCGGCAGGTCCTGCAGCAGCAGCCAGGCCAGCGCCGGCAGCCGCTCCCGGTGCCCGTAGGCGTCGTAGAAGAGCGGGAAGGCCCGCGAGGTGCCGGCCGAGAGCAAGAGCAGATCCAGCAGCGCCAGGCAAGGGGCGCCGGGCGGGCAGCGCCAGGGCAGGAGGGCCAGTGCCAGCAGCGCCAGCAGCGCCACCAGGCCGAAGAGCGCGCCTACCCCGTAGACGTGCGCCTCCCAGGCCAGCCCCCAGCGAGCGCGCGCCTCGGCCCAGTCGGCCTCCAGGCTCAGGAAGAAGAGAGGCAGCGGGCCCACCGGTGGCGCGTCCCCCTCGGGCAGTTCCTGGACGCTGCAGGACGCCGGTCCACACTCAGGCTCCGAAGGGGTCCCGAGGCTGGCAGGGCTGGAGTCCTCCGGGCCAGCGGTGGGGAGTGTGGCATCTGTGGACAGAGAACTTTGATCTGGGGCCATTGTGCCAGTTCCCCACCACACACACCTCCTCATCCCAGTGCCATGGCCCTCCGTGCAGATCTGGGTGGTAACAGCTCAGGACCCCAGAGACTCGCCAACCTCAGCCCGGCCCCCTCCAATTCCTCCACGCAGCCCATCCCGCTCATCCCCTCCAGCCTCCCAGCGCACTGCCATCCGTTCACCCTTGTTCACGCCCGTTCATCACTGAGGTTCCCTCTGAAAAGGGTTTTGCTGAAGAAGTTACCAGATTTTGTCATGGCCTGCACTTCAGAAAGCCCCACTAGTTCCTTTCTGCTCCCCAAAAAGGAAGCTTGTCAGGAGCAAACTTTTCTGTTTGTGGGGCTGGGTGATAGTATAACAGGTAACGAGCTTGCCTTGCACGCGGCCCACCCAGGTTCAATCCCCAGCACTATCCACTAGCCTGAAGTATGGCCAGGAGTGATTCCTGAGTACAGAGCCAGGAGTAACCAATCCCTCCGCAACACCCGGTGTGGCACCAAAAAAACAGAAAAACTTTCTGTTCGCTTTGCTGACTCTAAATCATCCACATGACTCCAAGGATGGCCCCAAGCACGGGGGGTCCTCCACATGGGCATCGGCCGATTCGCCAGAGGGAGGCACTCAGACTGCTGGAAAGGCAAAGGGACTTGTCCAAGTTTACCGACACTGCAGAACTGAGTGGAATCCAGATGCAAGCACCAGCTGGAGCCCCTACCCAGGATTTCGGGGTCTCTGCCTGGCACTTGTGTGCTGATCTCTAGTTCTGCACCCCCGACACCAACATGCCACCCTGGTGCTTCCCCGGTTCTTTTCCACTGGCTTCCCCCTTTTCTGTCTCAGGAAAAGCTGCTATACACAGAGAAAAAGAGCCAGAATTGGGGGGAGGGGCGCAGGTGATGAGAAGAGAGAGCGTAGGACCTCCTACCTCAGACTCATTTTCCATTCACAGGCCTCCCTGTGGGCTGCATCCCTTTACCTGCCCCTAACCATCATCCCCATCCTAACTCAGCCACAAAGTCACAGGTCACAGGTTTTTCTTATAGACAGCCCTTTGGTTCTTTACAGAGGAGTGATAGTGAGGCAAAATCCCAGGAAGGATGAAGCGGGGAGATCAGAGTGGAATAAAATGCCATTTTAGGATCAGGAATGTAGTTTGGCAGGCGAAAACTTGTCTGCTCATGCGAGGCCCTGAGTTCGATCTCCTACATCATATGCCCACCCCCAAACCTTACCGGCCTTAAACCGTTAAGCCTGTGGTACCAGGCTGGTATTATGCCTGAGAGTGGTCCTGCCATCCCCCCAGCACTGCAGTGTTTGCCTCCCCACCTTTATTTATTTAGTTAGTTGCTTTTTGGGTCACACCCAGCAATGCTCAGGGCTGACTCCTGGCTCTGCACTCAGGAATCACACCTGGCGGTGCTCAGGGGACTATATAGGATGCTGTGAATTGAACCCAGGTCGGCCAAGTGCAAGGCAAATGCCCAGCCCTCCCCGCTGTGCTATCGCTCCAGCCCCTCCCCGCCTATTTTTTTTTTTTTTTGCTTTTTGGGTCACACCTGGTGATGCACAGGGGTTACTCCTGGCTCTGCACTCAGGAGTTACTCCTGGTGGTGCTCAGGGGACCACATGGAATGCTGGGAATCGAACCCGGGTCCGGCCACGTACAAGGCAAACGCCCTACCCGCTGTGCTATCTCTTATCTCTCCAGCCCCCACCTTTATCTTTAATTAAAATAAATAAATGTCATTTTAGTGAGTGAACTCCTCAGGTGCTCTGGGTTTGCTAACTTCATCCTTGGTGGAAAAGGAAGCTAAGCAAAAGAGGGGGGGAGGAAGGGCTCAAATTCTACACTCCTGGGATGAAAAGGGCATTTGAAAGAGTTAAACCCCAGGAATCTCCTCCCGGCCAGGCAGCAAGGTAGCAAGGAAAGATGTTGGAGGCTGAGCCTGGCCCTGTACAACCTCCCCTTCCCCCCACCACCCCGTCCCAACCGTCACCCCGCAGGCTCAGCAGAACCACAGCTGCAAGCAGAACCAGGATGGAGCGAGAGGAGGGTGGAGGAGGGACGCCTGGTGGGGCCAGGCAGGGAGGTGCCCAGGAGGCAGAGGAAGAAAGAGGTGGAATGCTCAGGGGTAACGTGCACCTGGTGGTGCTCCAAGGACTCCAGCATGCAATGTCTGCACTCCAACACCCTCCACCTCACCCCGACACACACACACACACACACACACACACACACACACACACACAGTGTCTCCTGACAATCAGACTTCTCTTGCCTGGCCCTGGCCCTGCCCCAGTCAGGCCCCATTTGGACAAGACAACACAGGGAATGCCCAGGATCACCCTGCCCAGCCGTGCCCACTCATGCTGTGGCCACACCAAACACACCAGGGCAGAGAACATGGGAGAGGAGGGGCAGAAAACATTTCTGGAGAGAGGATTTGAAAGACCTGAGCATCTAGGGAAGGCAAAGTGGGTACAAGACAAAACTTCAACATACAGAGCCCACAGTGTCCCACCAATGGCAGTGAGTGTCCTAGCCCCTTGCCAGGGACTATTCCCTGTGAACTGGGCCAGGATGCCTATAGCATACATCAGTCTTCGGGATAAACACACGGTGTGGGCAGGAGATGCGGGGTGGTGGTCTGCTGACTTGACTAAGTGCGGGCATTGCATGCTAAAGTCCTAAATTTAATCCCAGCCACCACACTGTCCTTTGAGTATCACCAGAAATGTATTACCCCTGAGCACTGAACTGGGAGTTGCCCTCCCTTGCCCCCCCCCTCACCTAGTACTGCCAGGTGTGGCCATAAAACAATACAAAAAACAAAACTGGGGGGCTGGAGCAATAGTACAGTAGATGGGGCATTTGTCTTGCACCTGGCCAACATGGGTTTGATCCCCAACACCCCACATGGTACACTGGGCCTGTCAGTGTTGATCCCTGAATGAAGAGCCAGCAGTAACCCCTTAATACCACAGGGTGTGGTTCCCAAACAAACAAAAAGGTTGGTGGGAAAGCATGGCACTGCTCAGGAGCCAAAGGAGTGAGCCCCAAGCAAGAAGCACCTACTATGCGGCAGAGCACCTAGGGGTGGGTACCCGTGCTGGGCCAGGCAACGAAGATCCAGCTTTCTCCTTTGAGAGGCCCGCTGGAGCTGCTCCCCAGGCACCCTAAAGGAGCCCCAGAATAGAGTAACTTCCCTGTCCCTCTCTCAAACCAGTCTCCCTGATAAGGTGGTCCCTGCAGGCTCCCTGGCCTCTCCTTGACCTCGGAGCTCAGAGGTAGCCTCATCAGCTTGAGTCATGGGCCAGGGGAAGCCAGAGGGGGGCCAGGCTAGATTGATGGCAGAGTCAGGCTTGATTATCCACCAGCTGCCCAGATCAAAGGGCGGGGGGGATCGCCCACTCAGTGCTCCCTGGCTGCACACGCCCCACCTCCAGAATTCCTGGATGATCCATCTGCTTTGTAAAGGTGGCATCTGAAATAGCCAACAACTGGAAATGTCACGGATGCCTGCTGGAACCCATGCAAAGGGCTGCAGGGGGTGGGGGTGGCGACAGGGAGAGACCCTCGGGGCTAGGGCAGTGGATCCCTGAGGAGGGCTAAGAAAGTCTTTCAGGACCACAGAGATAAGGCACTGGACAACCTGGATTTGATCCCCAGAATTCCATATGATCCCTGAGCACTGCCAGGAGTGATTCCTGAGTGTAGAATCAGGAGTAACCCCTGAGTATCACCAGGTGTGGCTCAAGAACAAAAAAGAGAAAGGAAGGAAGGAAGGAAGGAAGGAAGGAAGGAAGGAAGGAAGGAAGGAAGGAAGGAAGGAAGGAAGGGAGAGAGAGAGAGAAAGAAAGGAAGGAAGGAAGGAAGGAAGGAAGGAAGGAAAGAAAGAAAGAAAGAAAGAAAGAAAGAAAGAAAGAAAGAAAGAAAGAAAGAAAGGCCACCAGTCTGATAGGGCCATACCACTGCCCTGGTGTACGCAGTCTGTCTCAAGCACTGTCCCCAGTGAAGGGGCCTCGTGTAACAGAAGAAACGTCTAGGGTCCAAGGTGAGCCACAGCAAGCAAGGGAGACCCTAGAGGAGACCCAGAGAGACTTCAGCTGTCCCCAGACCTCCTGACACCTCTGCCTAGGTCAGAGCCAGGCCTCTGTGCCTTCTCTCCAGGAGGCCTGTAGCTTCGTTGCTCCCCACCCCCAAGCCCCCCCACCCCCCCCCCACCCCCGGGAACAGTCAGGAAGAGGCTGGGTTCCGCCATCAGAGAGAGCAGAGCCAGGCAGGGCTTCTCCTGACACTGTCCAGACTCATTAGCCTCCCAGTCCACCCTCCACATCCTGCCTGAATCCAAAGAGCTGAGCTCCACCCACCCTGCAGAGCCCTCCCCCAGCACTCAGGGCCCACAGGGAAGAGAGGGCCGGTGGGTGAGTGAAAGCTGAGCCAGGTAAAAAAGGAGCACAGGTAGCTAGAGATCCTGCAGTTGCCACTACCCATTGGTCCCAATGTGGGGGTGCCAAGAAAGAGGATACCCCACCACAGAGACACTTTCCCAAACAAAGCTGGGTCTCCAGGGTCTTCTCTCTGGCTCCCTGCACCTCACCTATCAGGGTCTGGAGCAGCTCTGGAGTTACCTGAATCCCACCCTTTCTCACAGTATCTGAGCTGCTGCTTCATAACCCTGCCCCCCCCCCCCCGAAGCCCCCGCGATTATCCAGATGCTTCACTGTAACAAAACGGTGTCACAATTACATCCTAGGTACAGTAGAAACTTTAGGCTGGGAGAGTCCATCATGTGCCATGACCACCCAGCTGAGAGGTAAGTGGACTGGGGTTCACTGCCCAGTCTCGGCTGACAGAGTCCCTGGGTTTTCCTCTGCACCACCAGTTGGCTGGAGTGCATGTTCTAGAAAGTTCTCATGAAGGAGGGAGGCGTCTGCCTGCTCCAAGTCTCCCCAGCAAGGGACCCTGCTCTGCCTGTTCTCTCAGATCAAGTGAAACAGGAGAGCCCCCGAGGATGGGGGGCGGGGGGCAGGAGGGGTGGGGAGGGGGGAGTCTAGGGGGAAGCTATGGAAACATGAAGGGTCTGTGTCTGTCTGTCCCTAGTGCCTTTGTCCACATCCTGCCATGCCCATGATCACAAATGACTCCGAAGACCCCTGGTCATCATCCACCAGGCAGAGCTGCTGCCCTGAGGATAAGGAAGAGACTGAGCTCACAATGACAACAGCAGAACAAAAAGCCTCCCAGCATGCCAGGGAGTGGCTGGCAGCTGGTGCCACCCATGTCTGTCAGGTGCAAGTGGATCGACTCACCCAGAGCTGCAGCAGGACCCGAGACTGGGCGGGAGGAAGTGGCCAAATCCAGGGGGCTTCCACTTGGAACCCTTCTCTCCCCCAAGAAAGGGGGCGGGGACAGAGTCGTGCCAAAGAATCCTGCAAAAAGAGCACATGGGGGCTCCACGGTCACCCTGCCAGTCTGTCCTAGCATCTGGGGCTTTGGACAAAACCTTGACCTCCCCCAGAGCATCCCGTAAAAGGGAACCATGTCCCAGGATCTGCTGCCACGAGCAGCCGTGAGCTAAGCTGCGAGGACCAAACCAGACTCAGTATGGCCAAGAGGAAATTTTCCCACAAAGGCCACAGCCCATGTCCCAGCAGCAGTGCTAACTACCACCATCCCTCCCCCATCAATAAAGAAAGGGAGGGCCAGAGAGGTAGCATAGTGGGTAGGGCACTGGCCTTACATGCTACTTGGCACCCAATATGATCCCCCTAAGCCCCACTAGGAGTGATCCCTGAGCATAGAGCCAGGAGTAAGCCTGAGCACGCAGGGTGTAGCCCAAAAAAAACAAGCAAGCAGAAAAGCAAGCAAGCAGGAGAGAGAGAGAGAGAGAGAGAGAGAGAGAGAGAGAGAGAGAGAGAGAGAGAGAGAGATCAAAGCAATCAAAGCAACAGTACAGGGGGCTGGAGTAATACCACAGCGGGTAGGGCATTTGCCTTGCATGCAGCCGACCCAGGTTCAATTCCCAGCATCCCATATGGTCCCCTGAGCACCTCCAGGAGTAATTCCTGAGTGCAGAGAAAGAAAAAAAAAAAAGCAATAGTACAGCGGGTAGGGTGTGCTTGCCTTGCATGCAGCCAATCTGGGTTCGATCCCCTGGCATTTCATATGGTCCCCGAGCACTGCCAGGAGTGCAGAGCCAAGAGTAACCCCTGAGCTTCTCTGGGTGTGCCCCCACCCCCCTCAAAAAAGGAAGGAATGAAGGAAAGAAGCCCAGACATATGACCACGTGGCACCTGGCAGGTTGGCATGTGCCACCTTCCCTGGGAGCGATGAACCCAACACTCACCTTGAGAATCTGAAACTCCAGAGGTAGAGCTTGGAGCGGTGGCTGGGCTGGGGCCTGAGAAGTTCCGGAGTGGGGACAGCGTGGTGCCAAAGAACCCTGTGAAAAGGAGGCGGACGTGTCCTCATACCTGCCAGCACTGCCCAGCTCGGGCGCTCCTCGGGTTGTGGCAGGCACTCACCGAAGGGTCCCAGGCGCCCAGCGATCTCGGCCAGGCTCGCCCGCAGGCTGGGCAACAGGGGCAGTGTCCGATGGCCCAGCGTGGGGGCCGCGCCTGCTCGCAAGGCCACATCAAACTTCAGCTCCAGCTCACTCGGGGGATGCCTGGGAGCACTGGAAGGAGGCGCTGTGGCTGCAGGCAGGGCAGTGTCCCAGGTCCCCGTGATCCTCCGGGGCTGGGAGGTCGCGGCCGGCCAGTTGGTGGGTCCAGAAAGGGGGGCTGTGGGCTCTTGAGGCTGGGAGGGGACCCCGGGAGTCGAACTGCCCTCAGCAGAGCCCCACTCCGGGGGCGAGTTCCCCAGGGAACCCACCAGCAGCTCCCAGAGGGGGTCGGTCCGCAGTCCACTGGCTGCCCCTTCCTCGGACTCCCAGCTGGGCCCCGGAGAAAGCGGCTGGTTCTCGGTGGCGGGGTTTCCCCAGGCAGCCGCTGGCCCCCGCAGATGGAATTTGAAGTTCAGGCCCAGGTTTAGAGACAGCACAGAGGCCTCGCTCTGGGGCGGCGGGGTCAGTGTGGTGAGAGCAGCCGGCTGGGGGCCCACGGGCACGGCGAACAGGACCCAGCAGAACAGGCCCAGCCCCAGCCAGCCAGGCCCGGCCATGGCCCCCGCTGGCCTCAGGGAGCCTCCAGGGGCCTGGGGCGGGGTGGGGGCGTAAGTCTCTGTTCTTCAGCACCTTGTGATCACAAAGGTCCTGGAGAGAGGAGAGGTGCTATGAGCTTCCAGGGGCACCTCTTTCCTGCCTTAGGGTCACACACCCAGGAGTCCTCGAACCCCAGAGATGCAGAGAAAAAGCAATCCAGCAAAGAGGTGGTCGTTCCATCAGGCCCTGCAGACCTCTCCCCTGAGGCCCCCCTTCTCTGGAATTCCAGCTAGGCCCACTCTCTCCCCGCTGCTGGCTTAAGCAATCCAGGGGGCTTGGCATTTGCCTGCAATCAGGCTTAACTGATAGCAGAGGGGGCTGTTCTTGCTCCCAGACCCCCAAGTCTCCCTCCTTCTCTCCTCTCTTCCATTTATTAGTGCCTGTGTGCCAGGCGCCCCCAGGATTCCACAACCGTGCCCAAGGGATGAGCCTCACCTACCCGCTCCCGCCCGCCCAGCCCCCAGCAGCCTGCATCTATGTGGGTACCAGAGAGGGGGAAAGCCCTGGGATCAGTAGAGATGCCAAAGGCAGCCGTTTCAGCGAGGGATGCTGAGAGGTCCTGGTCCTGGTCCTTCAGGACCTTCTTCTGGGGTTGGGCCTGCTCTCTTCCCTTTAATTCTACAAACATGGCGTGGGGGGTAGGGGCAGCTGGGCTGCCTCTGGCCTTCTGGGGTTTGGTCAGCAAACAGGGCAAGGGACTGCCTTGGTAGATTTCTGCCCCCCCCCCCACCACCGCCCCACCCAGCACACACATCTGGAAGGAAGAGGGAGGGGGAGCCGGGGACACACGTGCAGCCAACCCCCACTCTCGTCACACACACACACACACACACACACACAGTCACACACAGTCACACCTCACTCCGGCCGCAAGCTCACCCACTCACCCTTCACACAGCCCTGCGCTCGCGGTCACACACAGCGGCGCCCTCGGCGCGCACTGGGTGCCTCCCTCCTCCACCGGCTCAGACCCGCCGATCTGGCACACACGCGCGCGCACACACACACGTAGTATACACAATCGCACAGAAGCGCACACACACCCCTGCATGCACACATCATACACGATCATGCCCACTCACACCTCTACACACCCACCGCTTGCAGGCGCGCGCGTGCATATGCACACATGCACGCGCGCGCGCACACCACACACACACACACACACACACACCACGCATGCACACGCACGCCCGCGCACACTCCCCCTCCGTCGCCCCCGGCCCGGCAGACCTGCTCCTCTCGCTCCCTCCCTCGGGGTTCTCCACCGCCAAGTGCCGGAGAAGGGGCTGCCCGGCAGCCCAGCGGGCCAACGCTTCGTGGACTCCGGCAGGTTCTCTGGATCGCGCCCGACGTCCCCGCGGCTGGTCCCGGCGGCCGCGGCTCGGCCGATGCGTGCGTGGCCCCGCAGTGGCAACCCCGGGCGGTCTTGCCCGGCCCGGCTCGGCGTTCTGCGCTCCCGCCCCGCGGCACCGCCTCCCGGCCGCGAACCACGCTCTCCGGCCCAGCCGCCCGCCCCGGGCTCCGCGGCAACCGCGGTCCGACCGCGCAGCTCCCGCCCCTGCGCCCCTCCCTCTCCCCCCCTTCTTCGCCTCCCCCTCAACGGGCCGCCGTCCGCCCCCCACCGCAGAGCCCCGCCGCCTCCGTGCCCTGCGCGCGTTCATTCACCCCGAGCTGCCAGCGCGCCTCGTTCCCGGCGAAGTGCCCGCAGACACACGCCCCCAGGGCGGCCCCCGCACACACCAGACACACACATCCTCACGCACGCACGCCTTGCCCGGGAAACAGCCGCCCGCCTGGCACTGCGCGCACACTCTTGGACTCGCGCGCACGCACGCGCGCGCGCGCGCACACACACACACACACACACACACACACACACACACACACGCAGACACGTGCAGACGCTCCCTCCCCGAAGGAGGAACCGCGGCTTTAAGTCCCCAACCAAGTGTAATAAGCATGTCTGCGCCCCTTCTCTCATTTGACCCCACTACAGTCCCTGGCTGTCCATTTCACAGATGGGTCAATGAAGGCTCAGGAAAGTACTGGATTTGCCCAAGATCACACACCTGGGCTCACATGAACCCAGTCTCTCCAGCTGTCCTCTGCAAGGCCTGTTGGGTTTTACCAGTTCAGTGCCATCGCTGCTTCCCAGGAGAACTCGCTATCAGCCCCTGTGTGCCAAGTCCTTTTGCTGTCACTGGTCTCTCGGAGATGGTGAGCTAATATGCTGCAGGTGGGAGATGGAATGCGACTTGTTTCCAACACTAAGAGCGAGGTTCCTGGGTTGTGCTTGCTGGAGGCCCAAGTTTGACCCCCAGCATGTGTGCTTCCCCAGAGCACCACAGAGAGCCACCACAAAAAGAACCCCTACAGGGTGAAGGTCACTATCCTCCCGTTATTCATCGATTTTGCTCGACCGGACCCAGTAACATCTCCATTTTGATACTTGCCATTACTGTGTTTGGCATATTGAATACGTCACAGCTTGCCGGGCTCTCGGAGAGGGACTGAGGAATCGAACCCGGCTCGGCAGGGCTGACTGTGGGCAAGGCAAACGCCCTACCACTGTGCTATCGCTCAGGGTGTAGCCCCCAAATTAAAGCAAAACAGTCTCAGTGCTTAGTACAATAGCAAAGATTTGGAAAGGGCCCCATGCCCAACCACTGGTGAATGAATCAAAAGTTTTGGCGTATATGTCCAACACGGTGGATACTATGCAGCTCTAAGAAAGAATAAAACCATGCAGGGTGCCACGAGGTGAATGGAACTAGAGGGTATCACGGTGAGTGAAGTCAGTCAGAAGAAAAGGGATAAGGGACTGAGTTGGGGTGGGGGTATAGGAATGTGGGGTGGGGGGAGTTTGAAAGGGAGAGGCCCTCCAGACCTTGGGGGCAGGAGGTGGGCACTGCGGTGATGGGTGTGGTGTTGGAATGATGTACACACAGAAACCAACATTAACAGTATTATACATCATAGTACTTCAATCAATAACGTTTCTTTTTTTAAATTAGAAGAAAAAATGTACTTCCAATAAGGGGAGAGGCATATCAAAGGGACTTAAAGCCTCAGGACTCAACCCAGATCAGCCCAGGCAAAGGTGAGCATTGTGACAAAGATTTCAAGAATAGGACAGTCCCTGTACATATCTAATGTGCTCTGCTATGTTGTGGGAATAACTAACTTCATGAATGGGCTTCTTTATGTCATCTTGAGTCCTTAAACACTTTCCACTCTTCCTCCCCCAATGCTGATATTTTAAAATATCAGGAGACCATACAACACAGAAGATTCCTTGTGAAGCTTCACCCCTCAGGCTGAGGTGGCCGCTTAGTGAGCTGAGCTCATGCTTTCCAGGCTGGAGGTCTAGATTCAAATCCAGCACCACAGGGTCCCCCAAGCATGGCCACAGATCAAAACAAAACTGTCCCTTGACATCCAGGCATCCTAGAGAAATCTAGCAGAGCACTTTACCCATGGTAGGTGCTCAAGTGAGTATTTGGTAAGTGAATTACAAATAAATGAATGAGGATAATAGTTGACTCACTTTCCTTTTGTTGTTGTTGTTTTGGGCTGGAGTGATAGCAAAGCAGGTAGGGCGTTTGCCTTGCAAGTGGCCAACATGGCCGACCTGAGTTCGATTCCTCCGCCCCTCTCGGAGAGCCCGGCAAGCTACCAAAAGTATCTTGCCCGCACGGCAAATCCTGGCAAGCTACCTGCGGCATATTTGATGTGCCAAACACAGTAACAATTGTCAAAATGGAGACGTTACTGGGCCCGCTCGAGCAAAATCGATGAACAAGGGGAGGACAGTGACAGTGACAGTGACACTTGCTGTTTTAGGGTCACACCCAGCAATGCTCAGAGCTTGGTCCTGGTTCTGCACTCAGAAATTACTCCTGGTGGTGCTCAGAGGACCGTAAGGGATGTTGGGGACTGAACCCGGATCAGCCACATGCAAGGCAAATGCCCTCCCCAGTGGACTTTTGCTTTGGTCTCTACACTTACTTCTTACCACAACTCCTCCCCCGACCCAAACAGATCAAGCCAGAGGGTCCTTCTCTGGGATATGGCAAGCACAAAGTCTGAAAGTTTCTCTGGTTCCCTAAACAAGATATTGAACATAGTATCTTGAGATTCACCCTCAGGGACCACTTACAAGTTCCCTCCTGTTTTGAGAGACCCCCCTCCTTCCAGTCTTCAGGGAATGCCTACTGGAAAGCCGCCTCTGGCTTTCTCTCATAGACTTAATAAAAGTTACCCACTAGACACATTTTCCTTGAATCCTTCTTATAGAAAGGCTCATTTCCTGCTAATCATGTTCACTTAAAGGCTTCTAAATAGAAAGACAGAAATAAACATACCCCAGCAATTCAAAATGAGCAATTCGCTATGCCCAAGAAGGGTTAGTCCCGGGAATGATAATTTTGAAGACATATTGAGAAGGGAAGCAAGGGTCCTATGATAAGATAGCTATTTGCATGCCTGTTACTAATTTCCCTCCCTCCGCAAACCCTGCGGAAAATCATAAAGAGATTTTCTTCTTTAAATCAAGAAAGAAACTCACAAGGATAGAGAGACAGAAAAAAGACATCAGCTACAAAATGTTAGTAGCAGGATGGCAGACAGTCCTGCGCTCACTGACTTATCAGCCCTGAGGGAAAGACACCTCACCTCTGGCAGTGGGGGAAAGAGAACCACGCCAACCTGATTTACATTTCAAGGTTCTTGGGAGTCACAGAAATTGACCTCGACTTTTAGGTTGCTAAAATAAGAACCACAAGGGCTTGAACAACAGTACTGCCTTGCACATGGCTGAACTGGGTTCGATCGCTGGCATCCCACATAGCCCTGAGTCCCACTAGGAGTGATCCCTGAGTATAGAGCCAGGAGTTAGTCCTGTGCTTTGCCAGGTGTGTCCCAAAGGCCAAAATTAATTAATTAATTAATTAATTAGGACCAGAATGAGGAGTTAGACCCCTAAATTTCTTCCTCATGTCCAAACCCTGGAGTGATTCCCTGACATACCCCTCCCCCTAGCCCCCGCCAGAATTTTCCCTGGAAAAGGGGAAGATAGAGGCTATCTGGACTAGAGATTTTCAAGCACAGCTGCCAGGATAGATACTGTCCTGAAAGTCCTCAGAACAAAGGGAATTAAGCGTGTATGTCATGTAGGATGCCGAATGCAGAGACCTTGAGACTGCTCTCCCTGCTGGGCTCCTAAGTGCTCCAAACAAGACTCGAAGAATCTACTCTGGAGCATTTCAGCAGCCCAAGAGGCAGGACCTAAAGATTCTGATAGTCCCCTAGACACAACGCTCCTAGATCATGGTGCCATGGCGGACCCATTTCATGAGTTAAGTTTCTGACCAGCCTCTTTCTACTCCCTTGCACTCATCATTAGAGCCAAGAATTAGCAGGCATGTGCTGGAGAGACAGTTATGGTGCCTGGCTTGCAAGCGGCTAATCTCAGTTCCCTGAGCACACAGCCAGGGAGTAAATCCTAAGCACAGCCAGGTGTGGCCCAGTCATCACACACACACACACACACACACACACACACACACACACACACACACACCTACAATTACCAGGAATGCAGAAATTTTTCTAATACAAAAGAGAAGCGAAACAATCATAAAAAGAAACATTAGGGAAACTGGTTATGCAGAAAAAATGGGAGGAGGGAATGACCATTGTTGGGGTTTGGATGCATCATAGTAGAATTCATGCCTTGAATATGTGAGGCCCTGGGTTTGATCCCTCAGGAGATTAAAGAAGACACTGAGTCCATGAAACAAGAACCAGATGCTGGGGGAGGCAAGGAGTCTGGAAATAACATGAGGGTAAGGACCAGAGGCCAGGAGGGAATACCCCCTCTGATATTGCCGTGAGGTAGCTGTACATAGCTAAACCACAACACTACTGAAAGCATGAGACCCAAACCACAATAATTAAACTGAACATATTTCTGTTAAGGAGCCAGGTTTGAGGGTGAAATGAGGTCATGGAGAAATTGAAGGTGGGAATATTGTATGACTGAAATCCTATTATAACAGCTTTGCAAATTATGGTGTCTACAGGAAAAAAATTAATAGAAGAGCAAGGTGCTCTTCTATTAGAAAGAACAACCAGGGCCCTGGAGAGATAGCACAGCGGGTAGGGCGTTTGCCTTGCACGCGGCCAACCCGGGTTGATTCCCAGCATCCCATATGGTCCGCTGAGCACCGCCAGGAGTAACTCCTGAGTGCAGAGCCAGGAGTAACCTTTGTGCATTGCCAGGTGTGATCCAAAAAAGGAAAAAAAAAAAAAAAAGAAAGAACAACCAACCGAGCATCAGCTTGGCAGTCGGGAGCTTTGGGGTTGATCCCCTGCTTGTATGGCTCCTCAAGTCTGGCTGGGAGTGATTCCTGAGTACTGAGCTGGGAATAGCTGCTGAGTAATGCTGGTTATGGCCCTCAAATAAGCAAACAGCAAACACAAAAAAAATATAAAGGAACATGCAGAGATAGCAAAAACAATGGCCTTG